TGACTGTTTTCAATTACTTCCAAACCGTGTTGTCCTGATTTGAGTATACCATAATGTTTTCCACCATCTAGTTTTGTTTTCATTAACCAACAGGCAAAATATCCATAATGGTTTGCAGCAGGAGTCAGGTGGGGATGGAGGGTAGATTTTGATTTTATAATTCTACATGGATTTTTAGGCTAGTTTTCCCTTCCTAGTATATCTTATTTGCACAGCATACGAATTAAAATAGAAATATACTGGAAAGACACAAGGATAGAATAGCCCCAGAAATGAGGGAGACAGATTCAGCCATGATGGTAATCAGTAATTGTATTAATGCAATTAATACATTGCATTAAACATGCAAGGTACCTTGCTTAAGAATTAGATCTCTTGCTTAGAACATGAGAGTGGCAGGATGAGAAGAACAAAATAGACAAATACAGGGAAATGGACAAAAGTATCCCCTCCATGGGCAAAAAGAAAAAAAAAGCAGAAAACTTAAAATAGGAGGAGAAATTAGGGTACAGACCAAAATACAATAGTAGAAATGAAACAATTGCTTTGGCAAATGAAGGGGCTAATAAATTAACTAAATAAGTAAATAAAAATGTATATCTATAATTTACTATAGAATTAAAAAGAACATTTTAACCTTGGTCATGGCGATTTTTACCTCGACCAAATTCTTTACTATAAAAACTTGAGTTAGAGGCTCCTTTTTGTTGCTATCAGTCATCTACATTAGTTTTAATTTTATATCATTCTGTTAAGATGTATGAATCAAATCCAATGAATCGGAATAGTAGGACATTTTCATTTCTTTAACACACATACCCTACCAGGGTTTAAATTAGGGAAATGTGTGTGCGAGGGGGAGTAGGGTGAAATTTAATATTAAGGTTAGCTGAAGTTAGTTAACAAATCTGTATGTGTTCCTTGTAATCAATCTATATTAACTTGGTTTAAAGCAGTGAATGCATAAAGATATGATGGTGATCATAACATTTGTAAGGAAAGAACTTATTTTTCTCAGCCTGCTTATATAAGAAATTCTACCATCTACCTTTAATTTAACTGAAATAATTTCTTCCAAGATAATTGAGAAACCTTTTAAAGCTAGTGCAAGGTGATTATTTACTGATTAGTCTTGAAGCTACCCAAGAACTGAGACAGTGACATAAGATTGCTATATACTGTATTTTTCGGACTAGAAGACACATCTAGCTTTTGGGGAGGAAAACAAGAAAAAAAAATCTGCCTCTGCCACCAGCAATTTGCCTCCTTGCAACAAACAGTCAGCTTCAGCACAGCCTGTTTTAACATAAGCAGCTAATTGGTAGTTGGATCGGCGTGCCAGAATATCGACGATCAGCTGTTCCAGGCTGCGGGGATCACCACCGTCATCTATTGCCACCTCCACATGCCCCGTTTTTGGCCCGTTCCAGGCAGTGGTGGTTGTGCGGAAAACAGGATGCGCGGAGGCCGAAAATGGGGCACATAGAGGCAACACTGACTCCCGCAGCCTGGAACAGCTGATTGTTGGTATTCTGGGAGGCCGATCGAACCGCCAATCAGGTGCTCCTGCTAAATCAGGCTGTGCTGAAGCTCACCAGGCTGTTTGCTGCAAGGAGGCAAATTGTTGGGAGGCAGAGGCTGAAGGGTTGGGGCTGGCGGGTGGGCGGGGTTTTGGCAATATTCACTTGTAAGATGCACAGACATTTCCACCCACTTTTTTGGGGGGGGGGGAAGTGCGTCTTATAGTCCGAAAAATACGGTTATTGATAATACTCATACTTCCATTCAATTGTATCCAATTCTCAGATTCTGCCTAGATAAGTCCCTCAGTTTTCTTGGCAAGGTTTTTTTTAGAAGTGGTCTGCCACTGCCCCCTTCCATAGGCTGAGAGAAAATAAATGGCTCAAGGTCAGTCAGCTGCTTTTTTCCTAATGTGGAATTAGAACTCAGTCTCCCCGATACCTTAACATCAAACTGGCTCTCATAATAACCCTCTATGCAAATTCTTTAGGACAATAGCCACTGACTACCTCCGTCTATTTCCTAGGAAATAAAAATCCTCAGCTCCATAGATTCAGAGAAAAGTACTTTTACTAGGAACGAACTGAAAGCAAGAAATTCCAGGCAAAGGACGCCCGAGAAAACATCAACTTGAAAAGAACTGTACAGCCCAACCCCCTTGTAGCTAGGCAACCAGAGGCTACTGCATACCAGAGCCAGCAGATATGGCCTTGGAGAGATAAGCGAACTCCAGGCCATAGTTGCAAAGCTGTAATGAAAATCTCTCCCCCCTTTTCTAAAGCATCAGGATAGCTGATATACCCATTTAGAACACTTAGTGTTTCTACTCCCTTTAGAATTTTGATTTTATTTAAATGGAGATTTTCTATTTTGCTTCACTAGCTTATGTCTCTTAAGCTATTTATTGCTTTGTATTTTATGCCTACTATACTTAACATTTGATCTTAATGGCAGACTCCTGGTGAAAATGAGAAACCAAGTCACAAGAGAGAAAGTATTATCCTAAAAAATGATGTTATCTGAAATCTGTGCAATTCTCCTGAGCAGCACCTGGAGATGCTATGGTATGGAAAGGCAAGCATGCTTTTTCTTGGTCTAAAACAGCACAGCAGTCATTTTGTTTTTTAAACCAGCATAAAAACAGCAGAATTGCCTAAAGAGCCTTCCCCTTACAATGGCTAGTATTTATGTGGGGTTCAGTGGTTAGAATGCAGTATTACAAGCTAATTCTGCTGACTAATTCTCACTGGCTCAAGATTGACTCAGCCTTTTGAGGTCAGTAAAATGAGGACCCAGACTGTTAGGGTAATATGCTGATTCTGTAAACCACTTAAAGAGGACTGTGAAGCACTGTATAAGTCTAAGTACTAAGTGCTATTTTTCTACCTAAAGAACCATTCAATTTGATGGGAGACAAGTATATCCATTAAAAATTGTTATTTTTTGGAATAATTAGAATGTAATTCTATGTATTTCTTCCATTGGTTATCTCTCATCAATATATTATCTAGGTGTTTACTTTTGTTCCAGATTTCATCCTATTTGCTTCAAGAACAAATTAAAAAAAGCATTTATAGTTTATTATTCTGCTTCCAGTTAATAGTCATTGTACTGTCAACAATTTACTGTGCAGTAAACTTGAAGGATGTAAGATAATGATTTTATCTTGGAATGCCATTTGGTTTCTTCTATGATGTCTAGATGGCCTTGCCCTTTCTGTTTAGTACAAGAAGTCCTCGACTTAAGATCACAACTGAGCCTGAAACAAAATAATTAGGTAAACTTTGCCCCATTTTACCACTTTCTTGCCACAATTGTTAAGTAAATCACTGCAGCTGTTAAGTTAGTAACACAGTTCTTAATTGAATCTGGCTTTCCCGTTAACTTTGTCAGAATGTCACAAAAAATAATCACATGGCCCTGGGACACTGCAACCTCATAAATACATGCCAGTTGACAAGCATCCAAATGTTTATCACATGATCATGGGTATGCTGTAACAGCTGTAAGTATAAAAAACCACCATGTAACTTTTTTCAATACACCTGTAATGCTGAATGGCCACTAAAATTGTTGTAAATTGAGGACTACCTGTATTACCAGTAGGCAAAGAAGCATTCGTAATGGAAAAAGTGGAACAATTTCATTTACATATGGAGATTCATTTTAAAAATTGTTTTGTACCCCTGATGAACATTTGTAGACTAGGACTTATTTTGTGGTCGTTTTTAAGTTTTACTTTCCACCGTTTCAAATGTCTAGTTTCTCTGTTTAAAATTACTGGCCGTTTTTAAAAGTAATTTAAGTAATTTTTGGTCTATTGCTTATGAGTGTTCTGGAATAGTAAAATAATTATTTTAAAAATAAATAGCAACAATCTGGTGATTTCAGGCTACGTTAATAGTGCTAATAGTCTCCTAAATATTTTAGTAAAGCTGTCCTTTTCTCTAAGCTGTAGAAAGCCTGGAAATGTTGCTGCTAAACAAGGGGATGGAGGTAGAGAGAGAAATGGGTAAAAAGGGAATTCAGAAAACAAAAGTACTAATGACAGTAAAGGTGAGATTATAAATACGATCGTCAATTAATAAATACTGAGGTTTGCCTCCCAAAATCCAAAACATATCTTCAATCGCTCCAACAGGTCATCTGACTTCGCTTCTAAAATAATGAGTAATAAAGCAAAACAAATTTAACATATACCAAAGCAATGATGAGCTTAAAGAGGAAAATAAAACTGATATTCTCAGAAAAAAAGGTTAAAAATGCAAATGGAAACAGAGCCAAACCCTTATTTTTTTCGATGCAATGTCATAGCTCAGCAATAAAAATTAAATCCCCAAATAAATGACTCGTGAAATCCAGTTCTCCATTAATCTATGAATAACTAATAATGCTAGTAGTGAAGGAGAAGACAGTATTCATGCAAATATTTACTAACCGCTTCCTGCCTCCTGAACTACAGCGAGTAAGTACCTCCCTTCCATTAAGCCTAAATTAGAGGGCCTCGGAGGAGTTCAGACAAAGCCTGTTTTTAAGATCCTGGCCATCCGCCCTAATCCCAACTCCATCATCAATCTGTCCAAATGTCTCTTTTGTCACAGAATCCGTTTTGGGAAGAAGCCTCTGCGGGGTCTCCTGTTCTCACATTCATGTCTTCCGTACCTCGCATCCAGGCTCTTTCGTCCGATCTCCTTTAAACAATGGGAGACGGGCCAGAAAAGGCTCGGAATACAAAGCAAGGGCACACCTTCCTTCCCCACCTTCCCAAACGTCCTTTGTCCCGTTTCGGTCTTTCTGTGAAGGGCCGCTTCGAAGTCCACAGCCCATCCCAGACGGGTCATAATCACAACCGGGACAATGGAATCCCCTAACCGAATAACGCACCCTTTTCTCAAAGGCGACACCGCCACCGGCCAGGAAGCTGTACGGCTCCAACCCTTCAACCACACCCTGAGAAAGAGCCCTTGTTTTATACGCACCACGGGCCGCTGGCGAAGCAGAGGAAGGCCGTAGCGGCCCTTCTTCCCAACAGGCACCCTCTGAAAAGCAACTGCCCAGCTCCTGCCAGCCTCGCAGACTGCTCAAAACCCGAAACGCTAGGATCACTTCCTCCTCCGCCCTCAGCCAGCTCTTACTGCGCCTGCGCCAGCGGCCCGTTCCCCTTAAGAGGCGCCGCCTCTATACTGGCCCTCGAGCGCACCTTTGGCGCACGCGCGAAGATTCGCTCCCTGTTACTTTTTTTTTCCCCCACGTGACTTGAAGCGGAAAAGGAAAGGGAAAGGTCAGACGGCGACGTCGTCAGCGAAGGGGGGAAGAGCGGAAGGTCAGGGTGCCGCGGAGCGGAAGTAGGAGCCGGAGCGCGTCCGCCATTGTGGGAAAGCCCGGAGCCCGGAGTAGAGGTGGGAAGTCGTGCTGCGTCCGGCGGGTGGCTTTGGGAGGCACTGACCAGGACAGGAGGGTCCGGGCTGCGGAGACAATCAGCCAGCGGCGGAGGGGAGAGTAGAGGAGGCGGAAACAGCGACCACGACGACCTGAGGGAGAGAAGGAGGAGGCCCAAGCGGAGCGGGGTGAGGGGGATTGCGGCTCCCCGTGAAGAATGTCAGCCACCAGCGTCGACCAGGTACCGCCTTCTCGCGGCTTCGTGGTTCCCGAATGGAAGATCCCCTCGTCCCGCCTTCCTTCCGTTGGTCATAGCGGGGATCCGAGCCCGCTACATCCGAGACCGTGGGACTCCTCCCCTGCTCCCAGGACCGCCCCTTCTGCAGGCCTGGAGGCCGCTCGGCCTGGGGCCTTCCCTGCCGAGGCTCAACGATTCCATTGGTTGTATTCACGGGAGGGCAACTTATTCGCTAGGTCTCCTAAAATCTACGAGCTCCGGCCCTTGCCGTGTTCGGCGCTGGCCTCTGGCTAAACGTTCTGCCCTCGCTGACTGTAGTTGGACGTGGCTCTTGAGGAATTCGCAGTAGTCGTTGCCGTTTGTTCTCCATTATACAGTGTTTTCTGCTGGCCTTTTGTTGCCGCGCTTCTTTTCTTCTCTCCCTGCTCCCCCTCCCCCCCCACAATATTTATTTTTCTTGCTCTTTTGTCGCCTTAGGGTGATACTGCTATATTTTCAGATAGTGTGGTTTTGTTTAATGCAGTGCTATATTTTTCATACACTGTTTTTTTTTTTTTGCTTGCTTTGTTTTTTCCTTTCCTAGTTTTGCTGTTTTCATCCTTACGTGCTTTTAACATTCCACCTTCTTATCTTTATGGGGGCTGTTGTGCTCTTTGCAACCATCTAATGAACTACTTCTCTCTCCCTCTGTGTACACATTAAACCTTTTTCAAAGATAATCGATACTGGAGGTCTGTAGTGAACAGCCAATTTAATAGACATCAAAATCAGGCACATCAGAGTCAGTATAACAATCTCAAATTTGAATTTTCACTTTTGAAAAATACTTTAGTATTGGCCAAAGTTAGGGAAGTATAGATTTTTCTGCATTGATTTTATGTTTCACCAATATAAGAAAATTATTACAATTCCAAAGTCACTAAGTCTAATGGGATAGAGGAGAAAAACAGGAATAATATACAGTGGAGTGTTTATAATGTTATCACAGTGGAATGTTAATTTTTAGCTATGCTTTAATGATAAATCTAATGCTTAAGTAAAAGGTTCTAATAGTTTTATTTCTTATTGCTTGTGCCAATAGTGTACTTTTATGTTTAAATATTAAACTATTATGTATCTTTTAAAGTGTATAGTTCTTGTGATATTCCACATACTCATTTAGAATTCATTAGATGCTTAGGTCTTAGTATTTACTGTTTTTAAAATAAGATGAGTTATTTTAGATATTTAATTTATTGTTATTTTATTTCATTGCTAACAGAGACCTAAAGGACAGGGAAATAAAGGTAAGATAATTTTTCTTTTCTTACAATCCCAGTTAATCAGTATAATTATTTAATTAATCTGAAAAAAGTCTATAGGGACTGAGGATATTCATTTGTTTGACAACTTTTATTGATATAGTAAATGATTCATTAGGCTACACAATAAAATTCTGCAATTTTGTTTGCATTTCTAATAAACTTGAATTACCTGAATGTTTTACAATTTTCTTTATTTCTGCCATCAGAACAAATAGGACTAATCAACTGTTCAAATGACGTAGGTTCTTTATTATTTTATTTTGCAATTGATTTTCCAGTTCAGATATTAAGTGTCTTAGGTTTGGTTAATTACATATTTTTGCAGTTCATTTTGGCATCTAAATGTTTATTTTAGATGCTAAGATGAATTAAATTAATTTAAGGAAGTTCATAAAAAAAATTCATTTCCTTTTCATTCCATTCCTTGAAAGCTCAGGAAGAAGGCCTTTAGAGTTGAGGTAGAGTTTTTAAATTTCAAAAAAAGTAGGAAGCGTAGCCTGGATACATAGGCTGGCTTTCTGCTTGGTTTGGACATTTTTCTCCAGCATCCCCTTTATGTATTGATCGGGATATATCTAAAGTTGACTGTTTTGAGGAAGAATGATGGAGTTTTTGTAATTTCAGGGAGAAAATAGAATGGGAAAGCTGTTTAAATCTATTTTTGAAGCTAACTTAGTTAAAAACTTTTGTTTTTAAAAATAGCATTAAAAATAGCATCCACTTCTCTGGTGATTTGGTACAGTTGTCAATTTGCTTTGTGATAGCTTAAGTAAACCATTTTTTGTTCTTTTTATTTATTTGTGGATGGCCACTGTCAACTTTTATCCTTGAATTCTAGTAACTAATGCAGTGCATGGGTTTGGCCTTGTGTAGATAAGGAAGCTGTACAAGGCTAGAAAAACCTTGCATAAACATCTAAGATTATATTCACAGTGTACTGTGTCAACCAAAACTGTGTGATATAAGTGTCTACATCATTGAAATGATAAATTCCAACAGAATATGTTATCTGTGACATTTCTTACAGTTCTTTACCAATAGTTCTTTAGAGCTATTAAACTTGATAGCATCCATCAAAATGAAACACTTTCAAGTTTGAAGGATGAAACAAAATTATTGTGATACCCTTTTTATGGAATACATTCAGTCATCTCAGTTTGGCTTATTTCTCAGCATAAGGATATATAAATGTATTGTTTAAACATTTCCACATCTGAGAAGTTTACAGAAATAATTTATATAAATTCCCTATAGTCCATTCTTCTTGTTTTAAAGATTATTCCCCAGAGGATGTACATAAATTTAAAAAACACCACAAAACTGTAAAAAAAACCCTCATTAAAATAGCATCAAATAGTAAGAAAGACGTGATGCCTAAAGGTATTATGAAATATTAGACAGTTGAAAGTTTTATAAATTTATGCAAAAGATACATATACTGATAGTATTTTAGGTAATATTTTGGATATGCATTAAACTATATGGATTGAGGCAATGAATTGAAAGCAAAGCTGTGTATTTTGTCTTTTCAGACACTGGTAATTGAACTGAATAAATTAAAACACTGTTAGTAATATGGTTATACACAATTTATAATATCATAAATTAAGATGGCAACTAGTAATGTTCTAGTTTTAATCATTCATGGTTTATGATAAGATCTTGGCAGTTTATTATTATAGCTCTGAACATATGTGTACAGCTCATTTACAAGTAAAAGACCTAAATATATTAAAATGAGTTACTAGTTTCATTATACTTTATATAATTATTTGTTTTTAATAATTGATAAAATATATCTATAGAATCAATGTCAGATTGCTTATATTAGAATTTTTAATAAAATCCTAGAATGTCTGTTACTCTGATATTGCATTGCACAGAACATTTTGTTTTAATTTTTAAAATAAATTGCTAATAGAAATAAAACCCATTATTTATTTAGTATTTATTCAGTTTATAAGCCACTTCAATTATTGAGGCAACTATGGTTGATTACAATATATTAAAGCAATAAACCAAGGAGCAAACAAGATTTTTTTTAATTATATTTTTTACTGTATTATGGAAAGAAATACCAAGAACTAAGGAATACTCTGTATTCATTTGTATTTGTAGTTCTTTTAAATTACTTTTAAATAGCCATGACTGAACTTCATGATGATAGACAAAATGTCTTTCAGTGAAACAGGGTGCCACACCTTTACATTCTATATATATTCATTTTATCACTGAATATTATATTGAATTAATAGTAATTGTGCAAACTTTGTGGTTTAGATTTTTAACAGCTAAATTTCGGTTAGGGAGTAAATTAGTCAGACTTGTAATATTTTTTGTTCAAATTTTTTTCTGAGACATATCTATTATTGATTTGATATTTTTAAAAAATATGTTTTAGTTCTTATGAGCTAGTAGCATATGTTCTATGGCATAGTTGATTTCCTGTTAAGGTGAATCGTAGGATAAACTGCTTTGTCTTTCTCTGAAATACTTGGTAGAGAATTTTGCCTTTCTCTAAAAATTGTATCGCACATTTACATCTTTTTCTTTTGCTTACTCTGTCAGATATTCTATTAGAATGAATTGTACCAATTTTGGTATGTACTTGTTTTGAATATTATTAATTTTAAAGTTAGTGTTTGCACTTGCAATATTATATGACTTACATTTTTGGCTTGTGGTTTTTAACAAGCCCAATTGTTTTTTCCCCTCAGTACAGGAGGGGTGCAAAGGGATGTAAATCATGTTAAAAGATTCAATGTTTTGAGCAGAGAAAAAACTTTTAGGCTGTAGTTTACAAAAAATATGTGTAGAAACAATTTAAGAAAAAAGATCTAATGAAGAAAATATGAAATTAAAAGTATGTTAGAAGTAGAATTTTAAAGAAACCAATAACATGAAAATGTGATACTTGAGTGTCATGTAGGACTGCAATAAAGCTTATTGTGGAATCTTTGGTGTTCTCTGAGCTTGGTTGTTTGCTTGCAGTTGTTTCATTACCCAGTTAGGTAACACCATCAGTGCACTAGGTACTGGCACTGATGATTTTACCTGGTCGAGTAACAAAACATCTGCAAACAAACAACCAAGCTCAGAGAGCATTAAGGACTCCACAGTTCAACCCTGAGCTACAGATATTCTCTTGATATCTGTATTTATATCTATTTTGCAACCCAAATTTTAGACACATTTTTCTCTTCTCCAAAATTGGCTATTTGTGACAGAAAAGAGAATACTTAATAGTGATGTATATTAAATGAATGAGTAACTATTACAGACCACCAAGCTTATCAAAACGAAAGGTGAGATATGTTGGATATATAGCTGAACAATCCGCTTTCAATAGAATATTAGAGCAGAGTATAAATCTGTTAGCGTAATTATTGTAATATGGGGACACAGTACCTAATCTGTAAACTAGATGCTCAGTTGAGTGGTTAGAGTTATATATTTGTGAGTTGTTTTATTGGCAAGTTAAATTGTAAACCTTAATATCCATTCTGGTTACCAGGAATGCAGAGTATAAACACTACCTTTTGAAAACATTTTTTTCCTTAATTTTAAGATTCAAATTAAAACGTTCTAAGTTTTATATAAGGATTTGGCAGATTGCTATCTAATCCCTACCTATACCTTTAGTGTGCATCCAGTGTAATCTCACTTCTTAAAAAAATTCATTGCTGCTTGTTGCTAGAAGTGGAAACCAAATAGAACACTTGGAAATATTGAGAATATACGGTATATATGTCTTGAAATTTTTGCTTATGCATTGTGATATCTTTATAGAGAACAGACAGACATGGAACAATACACAGACAGAGTATTAAAGCCACATTTGTAGGACTAGTTCCTTTTATATTATCGTTTTTATTGGTTGAAATTCATTGGTATTTGCTTTTTAAAAAAATCAATTTTTGTCATATACCTGAAATCTGGTTAAAAAGCTACATTTGAAGTAATATATAGGAAATACGGCCATTTGTCCATCTCAGTCAATATTGTATCACTGAATTTCAATCAGGAATTTTACATAGTGATTGTGTGATTGAGTCTGAGATTACTTAATGTATAAAACAAGTAGAAATAACATTTAATACAAGCATTTTCAGATTTCATTTTTGAAATAAACTTATTGTAGATATATGTCGGGATGTCACTACTAGAAAGAGAATTTTAACAGCAAAGCTGGACATTTTGTGGTTATTCAATCTAATTCAGTATAGAAAAATTAAATTGGCTGCTTTCAGTATGCCATTCATCTATTCTCTCTCTTACGAACTTAAGGGAAAAAATTGCTGTCATGGTATACTATACAAGGTAATTAGATAACTTAATATACATATAAGGTGATGTATAACACTAAACAGTGTTTAGTTAAAGACCAGATCAGTCCTGTATTTGCACTTCTGTATGAATCCATTGAAGTTCTCTTGTTCTGATGTACATACTTCTCCAAATTAGTTTGTTTTCATTAGGGCCTTCTTACAAATAATATTTCAGGCTTACTTTTTTTTCTTGCTTTATATTCTGATCTGTGGCCATAGAAAGTGTAAAGCTCACCCTTCATCTTCTATTTATGTAATATTTTCCCATTTTCATCTCTCTTCTGGATGATCCTGTAATAACACAGTGCCAACCCTTTGTGGCTTTTTGATTTAAGGATTCTACAATACATGCATGTTACCTGTTATGATTTACCTTAAAATGTTATGATTTCCATTAGATGTTCACAATCACGCACAATACTTTTATGTTATTTCTAATTTTAGTTGCATTTCAGTTTCAGTGCAAAACGGTTCGATTCATCAAAAGGATGCAGTAAATGATGATGATTTTGAGCCATATCTGAGTAGCCAGACAAATCAGGCAAGTATTTACAAAATTATCACATATTCTTGGTACTCTGTAATAAGAATAAAGTAGATTGCTTTAATTATGCAATAACAATAAAATACAACCTTTCAAAGATTTCATATCCCATTTACTTATAAAACATTGCTGCCTTTGGAATATGCCAATGAGTTAATTTTCTTTTTCCTTAAATTCTTTTGCTTAGGATCTAAATATGAAGGGCATAGCTTGCAGTGGATATAGATGGGAAACAAGCTTAGTTAATATGCATTTCTTGTGGTCATTTTCATTCATTTAATGCTCTAAGCAGAAGACGCATTTTTAAAGTTATACATTCTATTTTTAAAGAACATAATTAAATTAGATTTTTTTAATGAAAAATAAAAACAATGTGGGGGGGGGGGAATCCCCCTAATAATCCTTGCCTTATTAACCAGAGCTGTCTGGTCTTAATTAATCTCATGGGGTACTTCTGTTATTTTCTTCTTGCTCTAAAATGGTGGTTATTTAACAAAGGCCATAGGCAAAGTTAAGGATAATGAACCAGGATTTGCATATGTATCTGTTTAGTTATTCTATTCTAGCTCAACCCTATTGTCTTAGAAGTTTCACTGATATAGAATTTTTTTCTCTCAAGCAGCTGCAAAGAATTAACTTAAGGCCCTGTTTTTTCCATGAAAAACTCTTAATTTACTTCTACTGAAGTTCTGGATGTTTCAGTGTGGCCGAAGTCAAGGAAGTTATTTTCATCCAGGTTTGCCTAAGGCAGTGAGGGAACAAAACTATATATGTACAATAGAGAATGTGATGGCATTATTCTCTGGATGTCTTTTTCAACTGAATGGCCTTGTAACTACCTACTTAATGATACACCATTGCTGTGATTGTCTCCACTGCCTTCTGTAACTTCCAGCTTGGGGTTGCAGTTTGATTGCTTATTATTGCTAGTTGAACAACATAGCAAGCAGTATGTATACAATTATAAATATTTGACTTTTGACACTAAACAAGTGCCAATTTAAATGTTATTTAATATGCATAGGATATTTAGATAATTCTGACAAACAGAATTAGAATTTTCATCTGCCAATAAATGTGTGGGCTCTTTTTTCAGTTGCAGCCAAGTTTTCTGTCATTAGTTTTTGTGTCCTACTTCAGGACTTACTGCATGACATCAGTAATAAAGGTAGTCCTTACATTTTGGATTGGCAACTTTGTTGCTAAGTGATATGGTTATTCAGTGAGATATCACATGATATCTCATGTCTTGCGACTTTACTGCCAGTGTCTCCCTTGACACTGGTTGTCAGCTGTAAAGCCCCCAAGTGGTGATCGCATAATTGTTGCAATGGTGGTAAACGGCCACTGGTTGTGAAAAACCCAAATTATGCCGTGGTCAGTTGTAAAGTTACTTTTCAGTGTTGTTGTAGAGATCTATTAGACACCGTTCCCTTCCTCCATTTTTAAAAGACCCTAGAAATCATACCTGGAATCTAGTGCAACAATGCTGACATCTCACAAGGGTTTGGTGTAAGAGCATTTCAGACATTGTGGGAACTTTACATGTCTTGTTGCGTGTGATTAAATTTTGGCTTAATGTTTTCCTGGTGAAAGTCATAGTTAAAAAGCTGAAATTAAAATATAATGTTCAGCTTTGTCAATGCAAAAAAGTTCTTTGTGATGTGTGCTGTGACAAGAGACAATTGTGTTTGTTTCTGCCCAGGGAGTAGGTGATTTGGGCGTCATGTTTGCACTGGAATACAAGATAAATAAATTCAATATGATAGTTTTTTAATATGATGGTTTGAATGCTCCAATAAAATGGCCTTACATTTCATTCCCAATTAAAACAAGAATATTCTAGGCCTGAAATTGTCCCCTCCATCCTAAGCTAGCTAGATGTGTGTAGGTCAGATGATTAATTATTTATAGTTAAGGTCAATGTTGTTGTAAGCAAATTTTTCGTTCATGCAAATCCCTGCCATATAAGGGTTCAAAAATATCTGTGCTTAACACAAATATTACCTTTCCCATTTTGTTTTCCTTTAAGTTGGTAAATATTGAAAAATAAAACAGGTAAAATAAACTGTTGTGCTTGTTTTATTTTTTATAATAAAAATATTTAGGTTGAAGGAACAAGGTATATAAATTCCAGGGTGGATTTGATTTAAATCGAGTTGATTTAAATCACAATTTAAATCATGATTTAAATCACTAGTAAAAAGGCTTGATTTAAATCAACTCGATTTAAATCATAATTTTTAAAGAGCAACTGTCATCTCTGCTACTCCTTTGACCCACTGTTGACTCACCAATAGTTCCAGTGTTGCAGAATATACAGTCTCCTGCTACATAACTAAGCTCCATTTCATGCTGAATAAACTAAATTATTTATGTATCTTAAATAGAAAACTATCTTACGATAGATTTTTATCCCAAAAGTTTATTAAAATAAATTCGATAAAAATAAAAAAAATCCGATTTAAATCAAAAAAATCTGATTTTTTAAATTTTTTTAAAAAAAATCATTAATTTTTATCCACCCTGATAAATTCAGAGGTTTGTGGGTCAATTAAGCTTGCAAAAAATCCTGTCCTGCCTATGCATTTTACTTAGCAGTGTATGTTCTTGGGGCCTCAAATTTTGTTCTTCCTCCGGAATAAGAAACAAATGGTGTTCCTTAGCTTGATCTCTTACTATCTTTCTGTAGAGAACTTAGTGGCATCTTGACATGAGACACAGTGAATACTAACACACTGAAGATACTAAAGTCTTTATTCATATTGGATAAATAAAACGCTTGTCATGTATAGCCTGATTTAAGATGAAGAAAACCAAGAAAAAATGCAGGAGCCCAGTTAGAAGGAATAAAATAAAATGGCATCTGGAATATTCTTAGATGTTGGAGGCGCAGCTGTGCCAAAAGATGTGCACGCTCTTTCTTCAGAACGCCATATCAGTGTAATTAAAATTGTACCACTGTGGAGCAGTTTTAAACTATTCAGTGATTATATTAACCACTGCTATTTATTTGGTTTTTAGGGTTTTTATTCCAGGTCTTTTAATATGAAAATATTTTTTCTATATTTAAGTTTTGGGACATGAACGGTATTAAATATTCTTAAATTTAGATTTGTAACAAATGAACATTATAAATGCAGTATTAAAGTTTAATTATTATTTTTCTTCTTCTGCAGAGTAATAGCTATCCACCAATGTCAGACCCATACATGCCTAGTTATTATGCTCCCTCCATTGGTTTTCCATACTCTTTGGGTGAAGCAGCATGGTCCACAGCTGGAGATCCTCCAATGCCATACTTGACAACTTATGGACAGATGAGTAATGGTGAACACCACTATATCCCCGATGGTGTATTCAGTCAACCTGGGGCTTTAGGGAATACTCCTCCGTTTCTTGGTCAGCATGGATTTAATTTTTTTCCTGGCAATGCAGATTTCTCTACATGGGGGACAAGTGGATCTCAGGGGCAATCAACCCAAAGCTCTGCTTATAGCAGCAGCTATGGCTACCCACCCAGCTCTCTTGGTAGAGCTATAGCCGATGGACAGGCTGGATTTGGCAATGATACTTTGAGCAAGGTACCTGGAATTAGCAGCATCGAGCAAGGTATGACTGGATTGAAAATTGGTGGTGAAATGACAGTTGCTGTAACAAAAACAGTTGGATCAGCTCTAACCAGTACAGGTATGACGAGCATTGCAGCAAATAATGTGCCTGCAGTTAGCAGTTCAGCACCTAAACCAACCTCATGGGCTGCCATTGCAAGAAAGCCTGCTAAGCCTCAGCCAAAACTTAAACCTAAAGGTAATGTGGGAATTGGGGGCCCTGCAGTACCGCCACCACCTATAAAACACAACATGAATATTGGCACTTGGGATGACAAAGGGTCGGTGGTAAAAGCTCCTCCAATCCAACCAGTACTGCCTCCTCAGACTATAATTCAACAGCCTCAGCCTTTAATTCAGCCACCACCTATGGTGCAAAGCCAGCTGCCGCAGCAACAGCAACAGCAGCCGCTACCACAGTCACAACAGCCTCAAGGACCTCAGCAACAGGCTCAGCCTCATCAGCTGCAGCAGCAGCAACAGCTGCAAAATCGCTGGGTGGCTCCTCGCAATAGAGGTGTAGGCTTCAATCAGAGCAATGGAGCTGGCAATGAAAACTATGGTATAGGTGTTATACCAGTTAGCTCTTCACCATCTGGTGTAGAAGTACACCCAGTTTTGGAGAAATTAAAGGCCATAAACAACTATAATCCCAAAGACTTTGACTGGAACCTGAAGAATGGTCGCGTGTTTATAATCAAAAGCTATTCAGAGGATGATATACATCGTTCCATTAAATATTCTATCTGGTGTAGTACTGAACATGGTAATAAGCGCTTGGATGCTGCATATCGTTCATTGAATGGAAAAGGCCCACTCTATTTACTTTTCAGTGTGAATGGCAGTGGACACTTCTGTGGAGTGGCTGAGATGAAGTCGGTAGTGGACTACAATGCGTATGCTGGAGTCTGGTCTCAGGATAAATGGAAGGGGAAGTTTGATGTTAAATGGATCTTTGTTAAAGACGTTCCGAACAACCAGCTGCGGCACATTCGCTTGGAAAATAATGACAACAAACCAGTTACCAATTCAAGGGACACTCAAGAAGTACCCCTAGAAAAAGCCAAGCAAGTGCTTAAAATAATTGCTACTTTCAAGCATACCACCTCAATCTTTGATGACTTTGCACATTATGAAAAGCGTCAAGAGGAGGAGGAAGCCATGCGTAGGGTAAGAGATCATACTACTTTTTCCTGGATTAGAAGCTTGATTATTAAAAATGGAGTTGCTTCTGATCTTAACTAATGGAAATTAATATTTAATACCACCTTAACAGATTTAGGTGGGAATATTCTGGATAACATGTTCGTTAGGGTCTGCATTAAAATTTAAATACCTTAATTTTAATTTTAATTTGTATTAATAAATCGCAAGACCAAATATTTAATAGTAGTTATGAGATTCTGTGTCTTCATGTAAAGTATTTAAGTTGTAATAGATTTTGAGGTGTACAGAGAAGAAATAATTCCTTTACCAGCACTATTGCTGTTTAAAAAATAATACAAAATAAAAATTTATCAAAAAAATCAATAAAAGACTTTTTGAACTATTCCCTCTGCCCCTATTCCCTCAAAAGCATTATAATTTGTATCCAAATTCATTGCAGACCAGGAATGGACAATCTACAGCTCAGCTAAAGTAATTAATGGAGTCTGAGTTCACGCTGGCAGAATTCAGCAGGAAGATAAGGAAACGATAGTTTTGAGATGCTTAAGGCACCCATTTTCATCCTTTAAATGTCTTGAATTACACAAAACCTTGAGATTTAGTTTTGCAATTGGAAGGAAACAGAGTTCTGGTGAAATCACGCCTGTTGGAGGCCGTGTTTGTGAGTTAGAAAATTGTTCTCTGCCTTGTGTTTTTCCATTCTTGGATTGTTCTGAGAAGGCTAAAGGAATAAAACACCTTTCTTCTGATTTGGATCTAAAGCCTCTTAGCCATCCAAATTTAACTTGTTCTTCCTTGGATTATCTGCAAATAAGGATGTTGCTTCAGACACATGGCTTATTATCAAAACACTGTCTTTGTGGAGACAAAAACAGTTTATTTTTTTTTAATTTTTAAAGACTTGAACTTGTGTAATTCATTTATTTGACAGTAAGCCAAGACTATTTGAAAGGTTATTAAAACATTATTGCAGCTTTTGTGGACAAAATTGCTTAGTTTTGACAGAAGCTAGGTTTCTGGCGCACACTAGTAGTAGGGGTGATTGAAGTCTTGCCTTGTGAAATGATCTGGGATAATTTTGATCTGGGATAATTTTATGGGAAAGCAGATCCTCTACAGCAGGGGTGTCAAACTCAAGGCCCGGTGACCAGATCTAGCCCGCGGGGTGCTTAGTTCTGGCCCGTGGGGCTTCCTTGGAAACAGTGAAGAGCTGGCCTGTGGTGCCTCTGCCAATGAAAACAGGTCGGGAGGGCTGTGCGCGGTCCTCCCGACCTCTGTTTTCACTGGCAGAGGGTTGCAGGAGGTGGTAGCAGCCGAAAACTCAGCTCGAGAGCCCGTTTCCACTGGCAGGGTGCTTGGGCCTCCACCGGCGCCCCGGACATGAATGCCGTTGAGCTGGCCATGCCCACCCGGCCCCCCAAGTTTAAATACAACCCTGATGTGGCCCTCAATGAAATCGAGTTTCAACCCCTGCTTTTCAGTATTACTTCCATCATTTTTCAGTAAGAACCCTGCTCCTGCTGGCTATGACTTCCTGTGAAATGGCAGAAGGTTGGATCTGGCAGTGATCAGTAGTTTCTGGAGATGGTTTTTTTTATTTATTTATTTTTTATTTTTTTATTTTTTTTATTTGATTTATATGCCACCCTTCTCCGGAGACTCAGGGCGGCTTACAATGCGTTAAGCAATAGCCTTCATACTTTTGTATATTTATACAAAGTCAGCTTATTGCCCCCACAAACTGGGTCCTCATTTAATCTACCTTAGAAAGGATGGAAGGCTGAGTCAACCTTGAGCCTGGTGAGATTCGAACCTGCAGAAATTGCAGGCAGCTGTGTTAATAACAGGGTGCATTAAACCACTGTACTACCAAGGCTCCTATGGTTGTAGCATACCTCCTGTTCAAGAAACCTTGGCTCAGTACAACTTTATACTTATTTCCCCTAGAAAACAGTGGTGATCATACAATTTCTCCTAGAGAAAGATTATATCTTGCTAGTCAGGATTCAGTTTATAGTATATAGTAAGTAAATTGCATTGGATATGCTTGCTGATGATGGCTTTTAGAGTGAGTGTAATCCTCTGAATCCTCCTTGAATTTGGGAATTTTGGAGCTCCTAGCTTCACAATTCTTGCTTGAAGAGCAAGTAGCAGTAGTGACTAGCATAGATTTTGCACAGTTAAATATTCTGTACTGATTGCAACCATTCCTAGACAGAGAAGCCCTACTTATATATAGATGCTTATGTCCTAATCAATTCTCTCCTAGATTATTGTAACAACTCTACATGGGGCTACTGTTGCAGAGCATTCAGAGGCAACAGTTAATACAAAATGTGGTGGCCCAGCAGTGATGGTATATGCTGGTATACTTGGATAACACCTGTTTCAGGAACTACATTGGTTGCCAGTTGGTTCTTGGTCTTCTGTTTACAATTGAGACCCGGACTTGATCCAGAGGACATATGGCAGCACACCACATTCTTGTGTGATCTCTGCAGCATCCAAAAATCACATAAAAGCACACCCAGTTCCCGTGCAGTTTTCAGAGGCTGCAGAAGCTGTGTGAGAATGGGGCATGCTCTCATGTGGCTTCCAGATCATCTAGAAATTGCCTTGCTCTTGTGTAGCCTCTGGAGCCTCTGAAAATCATACAAGAATGGGGGCATGCTTGCTTGCAGTTTTTGGAGACTTCAGAGGCCATGTAAGAGCATGCTCTGAAGCCGCTTCAAGAATAAAATCTTTGTGTAAGGTGTAGCTATCATGGATAGGCTACGGGGGGCCTGTTAAAAAGAGAATACCATCTGAAGGTAAGAGGCAGATTTTGGGAAGTGTTAGGCTGTAGGGGCATCACACCCTTCCCCAAGACTTTCATGCCCTGGAGATAGGGTGTAACATGGTCTTTTTGAGTGATAGTGGCAACACTAGGGCTGAAGTCGAGACCTGAGCTGCTGACAGGTTGTTCAGGGTGGCTTAGATGGAGAGGTTGGCAGGTGGTGGAGGAATTGCATTGTCCCCATGGTTATAAGATCAGGCTCACTGACAGGCAACCAAATTTTGATCATATGATTGCAGGGACACCTTAATGGTCATAACTTCAGACACAGTTTGTAACTCTGTTCAGTGCTGTCACAATTTTGAATGGCTCCTGAACAGCCATTCGTTAAGAGAGGACTATTGCTGATTTTCTCCTTACAGGCCCTATATGGCTAAAGATCTGGTTACCTGGGGTACTGATTTTTCTTGTACTCATCTGTCTATCAAACCAGATGAAATACAATATATTCCCTCCCAGTTCCATCCCTATGCGATTGTCACCTGATGGAGCCTTGGAAATGGGTGTCTTGAATAGCCAACCCTAGCCCATGCTTTGGAACTTCTTCCCAACAAAGAAATGACCTGCTTTGTTTCTTTGGGGCTTTAGAAAATTGTAAAGGCTACCTGTTCCACCTTGCACAAAAGGAGAGTATAGCGTAATTGAAGGTCGGGTTCGTGGATGTATGAAATTTTTATTTTTAAGATTTTATCTTTTTCCCTTTATTTTTAAATGTGCTTCAGAGTTATTTTTAACCACCTGGAGCCTTTGAGAATGGCTAGCGTATAAAGAAAATGAATAAACAATAAACAATTTAGTGGATCTATCTTCTAAATATGTATAATATTTTAAAGTATTAGACTATTATTAAATTATGTATGCATAAAGTAGTGTAATAGAATCTTGAAAATATAGTTTAAATGTTTGAACATTTATGGTAATTGCTATATTGTGAAATATTCCTTATAAAATGTTTCTTGGTGTGATAAACCGAAGCTTATATTGTATGTGCTTAATTAAATCCAACCCAGTGCTGGTTCTTATTATATGATGTAACCATTGTAGGCTAGTGTATAACAACACTTAATGTATTGCTTTTTGCAATGAAAGGTGAATAAAGGGTTGTTATCCATTAGGGATTTTGAATATCAGCCCCAGATAGGACTTGAATCTCCTTGCCAAACTTCATACTTTCTCCATTTGATATGCTTTTAAAAGCTTGGAAAAATATTAGAATATTAGCAACAGAAAAATTGCTGAGAATGCATAATGCTTTAGCTACTGAAAGTCCGTTTACCACTGAAAAGTAGCGAAGTAGAAAAGTAACAATCATAAACTAACCTATTGAGAAATATTGTACTCATTAAGTGGAAAAAAATGGTTTTAAGTATGGAAATACTAGATAAGTATTTAACCAGAATAATGTCTCACAAATTTTAGTTAGCTATGACTTTGGTCATTTTGGAAGGAAAACTGGAATATCAAACACACCTGGAAAATATTAGAGTGGGATATTCTCTTAATCTAAGTAGAATTTAAAAGATAAGTATCCTAATTCCTTAGTTAAAAATAGTCACCTCAAGTGGAAATTCTGAAAAGAACTATATTGCCTTGTAATTATATTTGTCAGTGGAAAGGATTGATAGAAGCTATTCACAAACTGATGGTTATTAATTGGGGTTATTTTAGAGAACACCAGCATCCACAGGGGAAGTGAGGGAGGTCAAGAATGGCAAGATGACACTAGTAGCAGTGTGATCAAAGCTCAACCTCTTTTGTATGTGTGTCAGCATTGCAAACATGACAAAGGGAAAGGGGCTTCGATTATCCTGCTGCAACTGCCATTAGGCCTTTTTTTGATTTGTTCTCTCCTCATGGACGCTGGTGATTGCAGATCAACATTGTAAAAGCCAACCACTGTTAAGTTGAGATTCTTATTAATATTCTAAATGAATTAACAATATGAAATGTTTTATTCTTCCCCAAAATTTTAGAACAGCCTAATAAAGGCTTGAACTAAAATCTTTTAACTAAATTGCTATTTTTTTAAACACTGTCCATATGCATTAGGTGGAATATATACTGTGTTATATTTGTTAACGTAAACACATATTTAGTTGTTGAAGACCAAACCAATCATGTCATCATATATTTGTTTTTGAAAAACTGACCAATCTGATTTATTGGTAGCGAAAGCAGAACTTTTTGCAATTGGTTGTGCTAATACTGTGATGTGAATAAAAAAAGACTGAATCCAGATTTGACATACTGAATTAAAGGGGTCCTTGTACTGGCAGAGGAAATTCCTCATTGTAGATAAGGAGCAGATCATTGATTATTTTTGTGGATTCCTTCTTCTCCATGTACCTTATTTTCATAGATGATCCCTGCATTTCCAGATTTTGGGAAGCTACAGGGGAAGGAGGTTGTTTTGCCTTCCAACTATGAGGTATTTCAGTTTGCAGATAAGTGCTCTGAATAATTTTGAAGCATAATGAAAATAAGAATTCAGGGCTCTGAGAAAATAAAACTGGTCTTGAAAAGAAAGTTTGTGCAAATAGTTTTTTTCTGAATATGTGGATGAGTTGGGAGTTGCTTTTTCCCATTGTTTTGCTAGCTAACAAATGGCCCTTTGGAATGAGAAACTTTTTTATAGAATATCACCTTTTCAATTCCAATCTGTTAACACATATACCTTTTAATAAGCTTTTAAATTTATATCTAAGAAAATATTTTATAATATTTGGTATCACCTATATCTGTGTTGCTGAGTAAAAAATTAACAGCGCCCTAAATATATATAATTGAAATAAATCCGAATTCATGATTGAAAAATGCTTAATAAAAATTGGTTTCAACTAGATAGTTGCAACCTAGGCAACTTTTACTGAAAATTATGTATTGACTATGTTTTACTTTCAAAATGAGTAAATTATGCAATAAGCAGCATAGAATGTGTCTGATCTATTGAAATTATAAATGCAAAACAGATTGCACTATGTGAATGTCCGTATGAAGATACCAATTTTTATTTGACATTCTGTAACCATGTTTCATATGACAGACTGTATATTTAAATAGAATATAGGAGTAGATGTTCACAGGGTAGCATACTTATTCGCTACTGTATTTTTGTAGCATGTATTATAATAGAATTTACTATTGAAGGGTTCCCCCCCCCCTCCAAAAACATTAATGTTATGAAAAACTCTTGACAGTGCTACATATTGTGAATTATGTTGTAAGATATTCAGTATCTACAGGAAACATGCTACTCTATTAGAAAGACTTGAAAGTGGTATTTATCACAGAGGGAATTCCAAAGCTTATCTCTGGAAGTTTTCCCATTAACTTTGCAAATGAAAAACATGGAATTGTATCTAATAGACTAATTCCATTTACCACAGAATGGATCCTGGTCCCTCTTACCTTGCTGAATAACTTTATTTGGGAATTGGGTTATTTTTATTTATTTTGTCAATTTATATAATTGGTCATCTCGCTTGGCAAACAGCTTAAAATAAAACAAACAAAACCACAAACTATATATAATAACACACAGCAATCAGGCATGATTTAACATCATCATTACGACCAGGAGATAGGCTCTAACCCATACCCAGAAGCCCAGGCTCAGGTGCAGATCCAAGTTTTCAAGGCCTTAGAAAAAGCCCACAGGGATAGTCTAATCTTAGGGGGAATGATGTTCCAAGGGGCAGGTGCCACAGTCAAAAAGATTCTCCTTCTAGGCCCCATCTAGCTGACAGTATCTTGAGCATACCCTTCAGATAGAACCAATAAAAACAATTGGGGAGAGATGGTCTCATAAGTAACTTAGTCCTAAGGCATGAAGAACTTTAAAGGTGATAACCAGAACCTTGAATTGCAGGAATTGCGGAAGCACATTGGAAGCTGATGCAGCTTACAGAGCAGTGGTGTCCCATGTACCAAGTAACTGACACCAGTAATTGCTGTGATGTTGCATTTGGCACCAGTTGAACATTCCAAATATTCTTCAAGGACAGCCCCAGATAAAACACATTGTAGTAAGCCACTCTGGAGATCAAAATAAGATGTGTGACCTTGGGAAGCCACTCCTCTGGTACAGAAATGTGTGCAGCTAATAACGACCCTTAAGCTTTGCAGAGGCCCTCTTAACCATGACTGCCGCCTCCTCTTCAAGAAGGAACTGTGAGTCTAGGAGAACCCCCAGTTGGCAAAGAAGGAAGGACCCATGTACTAGGAGATACAAAATATCAGAGCCATTCAGTCTTGCTTGAGTTGAGCTAAAGTCTGTTGTGCCCCATCCAGACCCCCACATCCTCCAGGCCCTGAGACAGAGCCTCCATGGCATTACTTAGGCATCCTCGGGTAGAGATATAAAGCTCACCCCAAACTGTCGGACTGAAGATGACCTCATCCAGTTTCATAGATGTTAAACAAGAGAAGTGACAGTATCTGATCCCTGAGGTCCTCCACAAAGGAGGGCACCACCACTGGATCTTTTCCCTCCTACCAATACCAACTGAGACTGATCTTGGAGGAAGGAAAAGAACCAGCATCTTCCATTTCCTCTGAACTACCAATGCAGCTACCTTCTCTACAACCTTCCTTAGGAAAGGAAGTATGAAAACTGGACAAAAATTATTCAGAATGGTGGAGTTTAATGTGCACCCTCCCTTTCAATATAATTTTATTGAAAGTTTTAATACTAACTAAAAGTAAGAAAAAAAGAAATAAAGCTAACATGCAAAAAGAAAATAGAAAAGTGAGAAAAAAAATATAAAATAGTGGTTTCCTATTTTCTTTAAAACAGTTATTAAGTACAACTGTAGATTTACCTCTTTTCTAAACTTATATCATGCCTCTTTTCTTTCTATAATCTATTCTGATGGTCAAAAACATAGCTAATTTTTTTTCTGTTTTACATAAAAGTCCATAAGGGATTTTCAATCTGCAATAAATATAGGTATTATCTTCTCTAATCAAACAGGTCAATTTGGCCATCTCAACAAGTTTTTATCATCTTCGCCAACCACTCCTCAACTGTAGGTATTGCCAGATATTTCCATCTTTGTGTATACCATAATCTTGCTGCGGTCGGGTCGAGCAGTGGCCCCTTAAGACAGCAGAACTATCAGGGTGGATTTGATTTAAATCAAGTTGATTTAAATCAAGATTTAAGCCACTAGTAAAAAGGCTTGTTTTAAATCAACTTGATTTAAATTATAATTTTTAAAGAGCAACTGTCATCTCTGCTACTCCTCTGACCCGCTGTTGACTTACTGACAATCCCAATGTTGCAGCATACACAGCCTCATGCTAAATAACTAAGCTCCATTTCATGCTGAATAAACTAAAATTATTTATGTATCTTAAATAGAAAACTCTTTAGATAGATTTTTACTCCAAAAGCATTTTATTAAAATAAATTTAATAAAAATAAAAAAAATACGTTTTAAATTTTAAAAAATCAGATTTAATTTTTTTAAAAAATCAATTTTTATCCACCCTGAGAACTATCTACCTATTACCTCAAAGAGAAATTAACGACTGCCAGAACCTAACCACATGTCTCCTCCTTGGAGGTTGTAATCAGCCAGGAGGAACATGGATCTAACATAGAAGTGCTGCATAATAACTCCAAGGACTGTGTCTCATTTCCTCAGGCCTAATGAATTCAAATTTGCCTCAGATATCCAAGCTGGACCCAGCCGCAGTAACTTCCACATGAGCTGATCAAGGACAGAGTCTATTTTAGACTGGATTCTTAACATTAATATTATGAAAAGAAGTACCCTTGGTCAAAATATGCAATCTTACATTGGATTGGTTGAGCAATTGTGTTGTATGAAAAAAAGTCTGAATTTAAAAGATCCCTTCACCCAAAAAGAATGACACTATTAACATGTTTCCAATATAGTTAAGATGGTTTTGCTATTTTAAGGATTTAGATTAAAGTTAATAATTATAGCAAAGGGTTTTTGTCCTCTGCTCTTTCTGTTCAAGTTGAAAGAGCATCAATAAATATTCTATTCATTCTATGATTAATGGCCCTATTTTGATAAATAACACTTATAATAATGAATACCATCATGATTTTAGGCCTATACAGAAAATTAAAGTGATATGAAATATAAATTACTATGGAAGAGTGGTTTATGGCTTTGATAAAATACTATGGCATGCTTATTTTTTAAAAAATATTGTATAGAATTTTCTAAACAACTAACAAGTTCAAACTTTATAGGTTGAAAATGATTTTTTTAACCAAGATAATTGATTTCATGTTTTGATAAAGGTTACAGTTTGTTTTTATGAATCACTTATAATTGAAGATGAAATTCATGTGTCGTCCACTGTATAGAAGTTAAGTATTTTATGATAATGCATTAATGATTTTCCTTTTTTTTCTGTCCTGCAGGAGAGGAATAGAAACAAACAATAACTATATGGAGATGATCCTGCTAGAATTACAACACTAATGATGTAGACTCTGGAAATGCCTAATATGTCTAAGAAGACGTTATTAAAGCTTTGTTCCTGCTTAAGGTGACATCTTTGAACACTTTAACACAAATGACTCTTCTTGTAATGGTTCTCATCAGTGCATCTGCCCTTATACTCTCTCACCAAACACACTTGAGAACTGTAACTTCGTCAAGCACTTTCTGTCCTGAAGCTTTTACCAGTATCTGCTGTCTTTTGTAATTATGCATCCTAGCTAAGGCACAGGAGATGGAACGAATGCAAGGATTCATTAACTCTTTGAATTTGTTAAATACTAACAATTAACCATCATAAGTGGTTCAATGATGTGAGATTCACATTGCTTCAATTTATTTTTCTTTGATGTAGTTTTTTAATTGTCAGTTTTTTTAGCTATTCAAGCAGAATTTAAAGCAAAATCATGCCATATTTAGTCCTGGAGTAAAATTCAAGTCTAAATGTTCATGTGAAAATTATTGTAGTAAACTTTTAATATGGCAAAGCAACTTTGAGCTACAGTTTAGCCAAATGAATTATAACATGAAATTATATTAGAATGTCATTTCCCTTGTTTCAAACTGTTTGGTGTAGAGAATATTAATATATGCAGCTTGGTGGGCCACACCAGTTAATGCACATTTCTTTTTCCCCCCCTGTAACATGTATACCAGAAGAAGTGTGTTTGTCTGAGGAACTGTTTGTTTGCTACACTCAATCTCAATTTTGAGTACATGTACCTCAGTCTAAATCAGACTTTTTATGACCTTTATAACAACACTTAAAATCTTTAATTCCTATTTCTGGGTGTTTGCAAGCCTGAAAAGATTGCTATCATGGAAGTGAAAATTTATTCCTCGAAGTGATTCACTAGCTAAATAAACATTATTCTTGTTTTAGCAAGCATATATTCAGTTTCTCAGATTTTGTTTGTTCCCAATTCTGAATATAATAGTCTGCTATTTTTTCAGTTCAAAATACTTTGGGAAATAAAACGTTTATTCATGGTTTCAGTTTGTATGCTCTCATGGCTGTGTTTACATGTTACTTATTAGTACTATATAATAAAAGCCTAGGAATCATAATCACCTGAATATGTTCTATGCTACTTTTTAAAATTTATTTTAAAAGTTTACTTGTGTATCAATGTGAGTCGTACTGTTTGAAAACACAACAGCTATATTATCTACATAAAAAACAGCTGCAGTATGGCATCAAGTTGTGTTATGTTTTTAGAAGAATGGAAGGCAAAACAGGTATAGAGGCATCTTTAAAAACCTATTCATGAATTCTTAATTATGACTGTAAATCATAAATGTTTACATCATCTTTGGAATGCTTCATTAGTTTTAAAATTTACTATGGTAATTAGGATTACGTTAGAATGTTATTTTTGTACCACACGTATATATACAAGTTGGGTAGATGGTAGTTTTGATTAAAAAGGCTTTATTATTTATTGCCTTATGCTTGAAGGCAATCTTGTACAGGTAGTTCTCAGCTTACAACTGTTTGTTTAGCAACTGTCTGAAGTTAAAACAGCAGTGAAAAAAGTGACTTGCAACCAGTCCTCACACTTACAGCCATTGCAGCATACCCACAGTCACATGATCAAAATTCGGACATTGGCAACTGCCAGCAGGTATTTTATAACAGTTCAGTATCCTGAGGTCGTCATTTGCAATCTTCTGACCAGCCTCTGACAACAAAGTCAATGGGAGAAATGAGATTAATGACCGACCACTGCATGGTTTACTTAACTGCAGTGATTTTCTTAATAACCATGGCCAGAAGATCATAAAATCAAGTGCAACTCACTTAACAGTTTCCTTGCTCAGAAGTAGAAATTATAGTTCCAATTATAGTCATAGGTTGCGGACTACCTGTACATATTAAATGTATCATCCGAGTCAGTAGCTTTACATTGATGTAAGAAAGAGAAAGAGAAATCATGTCATTCCAACTGGTTCCTCTCTGCTTAATGCTGCCAAAGATACTGCTGGGTTGAGCTTGCCTTACCAGAAGAAAGGATAATTAAGAAAAAAAAAATGAAAAATCACCCAGGATGGCGTATATTGGACAGTATATCACACAGGTGAAACTAAAGCTGCTTCCAGTGTGCCCTGACATCACAGTTCCTCTGTCACAATCCAAATGGGTCCATTCTGAAGAACACTCCATGGGATTGAATCTAAGGCTTTCCTTTACACACATGGATTTATAGTACTTTGAACTCTATGGACTTTCTTCCTTCTAATAAAGTATATTTAGGAAATTTAGTTGTTAGATATGTATTTCCAAATGAATAATTTAATTTGAAATAAGTTAAATATTCTTTAATCGCATGTTAGATGCATACAGTAGTCTAGTCCAGTGGCCCTCAACCTTTTTGGCACCAAGATCTGGTTTTGTGGAAGACAGTTTTTTTACAGATGGGGGCAGGGGGGGTGGAGGAAGAGGAGTAGTGTGCAAACTAGATCCCACCCTGTGCAGTTTCGCCTCTAGGTGTATGGCCCGGTTCTGATCAGGCCACGGTCCTGATCAGGCCACGGTCCAATACATTACAAAATACATTTAACGATAGTGTCAATTAATTGATGGACCCAGCAAGTATAATTGCATACTTTACAGCCATACTTTATCTTCACATTATGAAGTTTACATTTTTCATTGAACCATGGTTAAAGTTTATTATATTAACAGAGATTATGCTTGCTGCGTGAGTTAGAAAAACAATGCCTCTATGTTTCTCTTGATATTATTCCTACAACTTGTTTTTTTTTTCTGCAAAATATACTAATAGAATCTTGGATATTTACTTGGATAATCTTGGAGAATATTGTTTTGCGGTTAACATAGTGGCTTTAGAAGAATTACAGTAATTTGAAATAGGCTATCCTAAATTACAATATACAATATGAATATAGTAATTGTTTTGAATTATGCAAATTAATGTACAACTATCCAATGTTCTCAACTAAGGATGTATCAAACAATGAGTGCTTGAAATGGATTACTCTAATCATTTAAAGGATTTTTCTATTCTGTGTTCAGAATGCCCGTTTTCAGCTTGGAAGTTGGAATAATTTGTTTCAAACTAAAATCAACTTTGGAATTTGAAGCATTTAGCATTCCACTCTCATTCACTATTTCATTAGTTGAATATTGGTGTGATTTTGATAAATCTGAAATCAAGTTTCTTAGGCTTATGTAGCAGGACATACAGATCTGAAAAGATTTTAGACTTTTATACTTAGAATATGTGTACTGGGTGTAAATTTAACAGAATCATATACTATAACCACACAGTAAAATCGTCTACCCTTATGCTTAAGGTTTAAATTAACATTTTATAATTAAGGGAGAAATTGCAGAAACTTTTAATGCTGAACTGCATTGATAAGAAAATGTGAACACTTCCCCCCCTTACTAAAACAAAACAAGCATGTATTTACCAGCAGATGGCAGTAAAGTAGGGCTTTCAAATTATGTTAACAATAAGGCTGAAATATTGTATATTCGGCATCAGGTAAGCCATTTTGCTGCTGCATGTTGTCAAAATTAGCATCTGCAGAACAAAGAAGAAAGAAATGAATTTGGAGAATTTGCATCAATTTTTGAACATCATCGTGTTTAAAAGAAATGTTCACTGTGGAAGAAATGATACAACCCATATGGCATTAGGCACACACTGTTTCTGAAGAAATCCAAACAGATTTCATAAGCTGCAGAGTTAATTGACCTAGCCAAGTTGTTATTCACTGCCCTCCTTCTGTTTGCTCTTGATAGGCCTGTCCATGGATTTGCCCTTTAAAGCCGCCTTTATCTCCACAATATAAAACTATTTTGTATTCAGCATAGAGATCATATAAAACCCTTAGCATCTTCCTGAGGGTTGTTGGCTAGACACTTGGAGAGCTACATAGTCAGGTTCTTTGTGAGTTTACAGTTCTAGTGGTTAAATCGGGCAATATGCTCAAGACTATCTGGTCTTGGGTGAGTTTCATATTTTAAGGACCAATGATGTACAAGTGGTTCAGCCAACCACATGTGTACTTGTCCCTTGCTCTATTCTTTATTGCATTTGATTGGAAGGAATTGTTCAACTGTACCAAAGAGTTCTAGATTCCTCTTCACAAAACGTTATGATTTCATTGTCATTAAATAAACCTATATTGAGAACTTTGTGTGTGTGTGTGAGAGAGAGAGAACTTGACCACAAAATCCAAATACTTCTAGTCCAGAGGTTTGTTTGTTTGTACAAACATTTGTTTGTTTTGGGTTATATAGCATTCAATTCAAGGCTCTAAATATCTTAGAATTTAAAATAAGAGAGAAAAGCACTGGTAAAACAACAGTACCTAAAAAACAGACCAACAAAACTAGTCCAATTTAGGATGAGGCATAGTAGGTGGCCAGTTGGGAGTGGTTGCTTTAGTGGTTACCTCTTGTATGTTGGGCTCCCTAGTCTTTTTGCCTTTGACCACGGGCAAAGACATTTTAATTGTTCTTAAACTTTGCAGGAACTGGTGAAATAACATCTCACTACTTTGAATGATTTTAAGTATTTGAGACAGGAGATATTACATCTTTAAGAGTACTAAAGAAATTGAAGGATGTGATTTCAGAATCACTGACTAGTTTTCGAGTATTTCTGGTGTTCACGGAAAATGCAACAAGAACTAATATTTTCATTTTTAAAAAAGAAGAAAAATTGACCTAAGAAACTACTGACTAGTCAGCTTGACATCACTATCTGAGAAAAATCCTAGAAAATAATAATCAAGAATGGGGTGTGCAAGTCCTTGAAAAGGAACAAAATTACCAGAAACTAGCATGGATTTGTTAAAAATAGGCAATGCAAGATAAACCTATTTTTGGTGGGACTATGTGACCAAATTAATAGACCAGGGGAATATTATACATGTTGTACACTTAGACTTCAATAAGACACTTGTAAAGTTGATCATAGCCTCCTTTATAAAGTGATACGCTAGTTTTATGTTTCACTATCAAATGGATTCCCAGCAGGTTCAGTAATCATACCTGATACATACATCTAATGGATATATGTCTACCCCTGGGAAGACAATCAATGGAGTATTTTAGGATTTTGTCCACTTCCATTCAATATTTTAATAAATGACTTAAATATGGGGATAAAATGGATAACACAAAGCGGGGTGGGGGGTGGGAGGTTGCTAAGAAAAGAGGAAGATTCAGCAATCAAAAGAATATCAACTTGAACATTGAGCTCTATTCAACATTTGAGAAATGAAGATTATGCACTTAGATGAGGGGCAGAGAAGCAGATGCAGAGATACAGAGTGATGACAGATGGCTTAGAAATAGTTTGTGTGAAAAGGATCTGGGTACTTTGGTAGACCACAGTGGAAGTGTGAGCCAACAGTGTACTGCAGCTGCCAAAAGAACAAATGCAGTCTTGGGCTGCATTAACAAAGATAAAGTGTGACATCACTGGAAGCAATATTTCTGCTATTCTCTGCACTGATCAGACTGTCCCTAGAACACTGTCTAGTACTAGTTGCCACAATACAAGAAGGATGCTGACCAGCTGGAAAGAGGAGAAGAAGAACAAAGGTAATGAGGGGCTGTAAAATTAAAGAATGGTGGAAGCTTTTTAAAGAGGAAAAACCAAACTTGAAATAAAGGAGAATTTCCTAATCTTGAGAGCTGTTTAACAATAGAACATCCTGTCACTTCTAACTCTGCGTACTCCATTGTGGGTTGAAGCCAAGATTGAAGGTCCACAATGGTATGAGAATGTCTTCCTAGGACCGTGATGGCAAACCTATGGCATGTGTGCCAGAGGTGGCACATAGAGCCCTCTCTGTGGGCATGCATGTTGCCACCAGCTGCTCTTCCAGGTTCCGGCGTGTGCATGTGTGCTGGACAGCTGGTCCACAGCGCATGCATTCTGGCGCGCACGCACACTCCACTCGGTGCCGAAAAGGTTAACCATTACTGGGCTAGATTGTCCTAGATTACTTTTGACAGTATTTCCTGCTGTTTTGGACTACTCTGCTATATGGTGGGGAAGAATCTTGCATTATTTCTGATGTCCTATGGAACAAGCCAGACCAGTTCCTGCCTCCTCCTCCCGTCCTCCTCCTCCTCCTGTTTTTGTTTTTAAAGTTTTCTAAGTACTGAAATTGATTGAAACAATGAAGTACATACCAAAGCAATATAAAAACCCAGGAAGCGCATCTCAGCACCTTAACAAAGACCTTTACACTATTAAAGCAATGTCACCTATACTTGTCCAGGGAGAACAGACTACAGATTTATGCAAGTATTTAATAGTAGCTTGCCAAGAATGTCGGCAAGCTTTTCAAAAGGAATCTTCTTTTGTGTCTCTTGATATTTAAAGAGCTGTAATTACAATGGCATAGCTTTGAATTTTCCTCCTCTTCTTCCCCACCCCCATTCCCCACCCCCATCTTTGTTAGTCCCTTCTGCAGATTAATTTATGGACCAATACATGTTACAGACAAGCTAATGAAAGAACTACACATTTCTTTTATATTTTGTTTCTTTTATGGTTTCATTTGTGTGGATAAATGCAAAATAGGGAATGCTATAAATAAGCATAATGAGGTCTCTTTCTTTCTCCAATTGTTGGTTGTTAGTGCTGAAGTCCTGCATAATAGAGAGGAAAAAAAGAAACAGAATTTAAATGCTCATCTCCATTTTTTTCCTTTTATTTCACAAGATAAATTTGGTCAATGTTAAATTTTACTCTTGGTTTTTTCCCCCTTTGTTCTTTTCCTAAAGACTTATAGCATTTTTTTTGTTCTTCTTGCTAATCTTATTAAACACAAACTTATAAAACAGATAACTCTTTTCTCCACTGCAAATTGTGAAACTAGAATACCTACGTAACATTT